TCAGGCTCAGCAGACATGCTGGTTACCTCGCGGGCAAAAGTCCGTAACTACCTCGCAGGCAGAGACACCGGCCGATGGCGAGAAGGAGAGCAGGAGATCGAGGCGGCTCCGGTACGCCTCGTCTTTGAAGTGCACACTGTCTTCGAAGGGGAAGTCATGTCGACAGGCAGTGCCTCTCCAGTCGATGACAGGCAAGGCCGTCCGGCACGCGACGTGTGTGCCAAGGAGAGAGATTTGCTGTAGCAAGGCGTTGCGGCACATTTGAGTGGGTAGGAAGGTGTGCTTTCGATAGCGAGGATTGCTGTGGTGCTGCGTGACCCAAGCCAGCCGCGTGTTTGGCCTCAAAATTGCCCTTGCGCTGCGGACCAAGTGCTCGACTTTCTCAACCCACGTTCGGTTGAAGAGCATCTGTATGTTCCCCGGGGTCATCTCACAGGCGACCGACTCCCAGACGCCAAGAGTCAGCGTCACTAGGGTAGGTGCGCCGAATGAGCGCTGAGCCTCGCGGAGGATATCAGCCATGCGTGCCACCGGGTCGTGAGGCTCCCAGCTATGCCTGCGAATCCTGCCGACGGGCCACTGCGGGTAGACGAAGCCGTGGAGGTACTGCGCGATGCACACCAGAGTCGCGTTCTCGAAGCAAGCTGCCGCCAGTGATTTCGAGAAAGTGCAGCGCGTTGCATTAACCAAGCTCTCACACGTTTTGACGTCGTTGGAATCGCCGAGCAGAAGGACAACGCTGCGGGCGGTCAGCCCCCCAGTGATGCACAGGAAGGAAGTGTAGAGAGCACAAATCATCAAGTAGAGCTCAGTGATGTGTGGGGCACGACAACTCGCGGCCGGCCCGGTTGCGACACGTCCCCACGCGCACGACGAGTATACCTGTGAAGCCGGGAGGTACTCGAGCCTCGAGGTGTGGCGGTACGTTGCAATGCCGCCGCCTTCACCCGGGGAGACGGGTCCTGGGTCGCTAATAAGGAAAGTAAGAGAAGTTTCTCCACACACACACATTCCAACGGCAGGCCGCTCGCTTAATTAAGAAATTCTTTTCTTCAATGTCCACCACCCTCACCGCCGACGGAGCCGTCTTCACCTGGGCGAGGTGTGGGCAAAGGAGCAATGAGAGGGTTAAAAAACTTCCTACCCTCTTTTTAACCTCCCCTGGGTACTTTTTTCAGCCGCGTCGCATTCTTTTTTCAAAATCAATCCGAATGCCGATCGCTCGCCAAGGCATTGCCGACCTCCACGATCGCTCGCCAAGGCGATGCCGACCATGGCGCAACCCGGACTGGCTGGCGCTATCGCGCTCAACAACGCCCTCGTCGATGCGCAGTCAAAGCTACCAGAGGGCAGCGCAGCGTTGGACTTGCCAATGTTTGTGGTCGTCGGAGCGCAGTCATCAGGCAAGTCGAGCGTGCTGGATAACGTGATTGGCCGCTCGTTCCTGCCTCGCGGGTCGGGCACGGTGACTCGCCGCCCACTCGTGCTGATGATGCAGCACCACGCGAGCGAAGAGTATGGCGAGTTCAACCACCTCCCGGGTCAGCGCCTCACGACCGACGCGCAGATATGCTCGGCGATCGAGAAGGCGACGATCGATGAGTGCGGAGAAAAGGGCTTCTCTTCGAGGCCAATTTACCTCCACTACTATTCGCCTACCGTGCCCGACCTCACTTTGGTCGACCTTCCGGGCCTCATCAAAGCACACGCCGCGGATATGGACCCGAGCGCTCCTCACATCATCAAGACCATGGTGCTGGAGTTTGCCCAGGCACCAGCCGCCATCCTGCTGGCCGTGACGCCGGCGCACAGCGACCTCGTCACCTCGGACGCGATCCAGCTGGCGAGAGAGGTCGACCCCGACGGGCAGCGCACCCTCGGTGTGCTCACCAAGCTTGACTTGATGGACGAAGGGACCGACTGCTCGACTGCACTCCTCGGGGAGGACCCTCGCGCACCCAAGCTGCGCCTCGGCTACGTGGGGGTCGTCAACCGCGGCCAAAAGGACATCAACAACGGCGTCGACCTCACGGCCGCACGCGCGCGCGAGCGCACCTTCTTCAAGGAGCACGGCGTGTACGGCCGCCCCGCGATGAGCGGCGCGCGCCTCGGCACGGAGGCGCTGGTTGCGACCTCGTCGGCGCTGCTGGTGGAGCACATCGAGCGCTCCCTGCCCAAGCTCAAAAGTCAGATCGCGGCGCGGCTCGAGGCGTCCGAGGGTGAGCTCGCGCGCCTCACCGCCCTCGCCGACCCCGCCGCCATCGAGGCAACGCTGTTCAAGGTCGTCGCCGACGCGCGCAGCGCCTTCTCGTCGCAGCTTAATCCGGGCGCGGCAATGGCGGTGAGCGAGCCTACACTATCAGCCCGTCTCCTATTTCGGCAAACTCGGTTTCAGCGCTCTAGTCTCGGCTACGTCTCCACTGCAGGTGAGCCAGATGCGTGCGCGCGCCTTCTCGGCGGGGCACGACATCGAGTCGCTCTTCATCGGCGACTGATGGCGAGCCGCACGCACGCGGAGGCGGGGCGGCTGCTCGAAATTCATTTGAGACTGAGATTAGGCCTGATGAGCGAGTTGCGCGCGGAGGTCGCCTGCTACTCGCTCGGTGAGCTCGACCTGATGGCGTGACGGCGACGAGATAGCCCGAGATGTCTGCACGAGGTTAGGCGAGCTCGACCAGATGGCACGGAAGATGGCGGGCGTCGGCGGGATGATCTTCGACGTCGACCAGGCCTTCCGGTTCCTCGTCCGCGAGCAGATCCCAAAGTTCGAGGCGGTCTGCGTGCGGCTGGTCGAGCGCGTGCGCGAGCGCCTCGAGAGCAGCGTGCGGGAGATGGAGCTCGGCATCGGGGGCGACTTCACCTCCGCGGCTAGCCAGCAGGGTGCCGTGAACAGTGTCTCTTCACACCGGCAAGCGGTGTCCTTCAGGCGCCTTCCCGCGGCTCGCCGGTGAGGTGCGAGACGCGTGCCTCCGGATCCTCGCCGACTACGCGGCGCCCACACGGACGCTCGTTCAGGAGCTAGTGGCCATGGAGAACGCTCGCATCAACCTGGCGCACCCGAGCTTTGTCGCCCGGCCGTCGGAGCTCGAGAGCTTCAACGGCGCAATGACGCGTCTCGCTAAACGGATGGGGCCGGCCTTTGGCGCGAACCACAGGGTGCACGACGTGGTGCACGAGGGGCCCGCACGCAAGCGGCGCATCAAGACGGGCGGCCTCCAAAAGTTCGTCTCTCTGGGCCACACGCGCCACCTGCTGCTGCTGCGCACGGGCAAGCTGCAGCGGCTCTCAAGCCGCCTCTCTGAATAACCATCCCTGAACTTCGGCTGAGACCTCCAAATAGGCCACCTGCAGTGGTTCGAGCCGCACGGCGAAACGACCCAAGCTAAGGGTACCCTCAAGCTCGAAGGGTGCAAGCTCCGGCGCGAGCCTCGCGCGTGCAGCCGCGCATATCGGGCTAGAGGTCGGGTAATCGTGTCGCGAGAGAATAGGCGCGAGCTCCGCTCCCCCGGTGATGTCCGGCCATCCGCAAAGCCGGCGAGGGGGGGCGAGCGGAAGCAGCTGTACCTGTATGGCGCGCCCGCGCTCCTGAATTCCGAGATCCTGCTCCAGTTCGAGGACGAGGTCGTCGCCGACGAGTGGGAGCGCCAGCTGCAGCTCGTCATCGACGAGACGCTCGCGGCGGAGCCCGACGACGCGCAGAGCGACGCCACGGCCGCGGCCGGCGCTGGGGTGGCGGCCAGGCTAACGGGTGTGCTAGCGCCACTCAAGGAGGAGCACGCGGCGCTGCGCGACTTGTCGGAGGCGGCCCGTATCGCCCACTTCAAGCTTGTGCACATGCTCGACTCGTACGTGGGCATCGTGCAGGCGACGCTGTGCGACCTTGTGCCCAAGGCGATCACCGCGCGCCTGCTCAACGCGACGAGGGACGCGATCAACGCGCGGCTCGAGCCGACGCTGGGTCGCGGCTCGGTGGCCGCGGTCGTCGCGGAGCTGATGGCGCCCACACCCGAGCACGAAGCCTCGCTCGCGAGGCTGCAGGCGGAGGTTGGGTCGCTCCGCGAGTGTGCGCGCGTCGTCGCCCACGTCCCCTGCCACGTCCGCGCCGCCCCGTCGCCGGCTACCAACGTCGAGCCTACACGCTCGCCTCTCTCGGAGCTGGCGGACCCCACGGCTCGAACCACTCTACTTTAGAGAGCGCTGTGGACGCGGCTTCCGCGGACTTCCGCGCCTCCGCGCCGTGGCTTGGCGCGCCGGCCGCGGCCGAGGCGGTGGAAAGAGAGGGCGAGAGAGAGCGCGCTGCACACAATCTGCGCGCGCTCTAGCGAGAGATTTCTCCCTTTTCGTTCTCGCTCTCGAGACACTTGTCCCTTTTCTGTAAATTCTCATACAATTCAGCTGTAAGCACCTATCGCTACTTAGCAGACTCTACGCTCGACGCGCTGGCGGTGCGTCCGATCTCTGCCACCAGCGCCGGCTCCAGCTTTGGCGCCGGCGCAGCGTTGAAGCGCGAGAAAATGAAGTCGGTCTCGTACGGCCCGGGCACCTCGTACAGAGCGGCGTCGCCGTCGATGGCGCCCTGCTGGCGCGAGGGCGGGTGAGAGGCGAGCGGCGGGGCGGGGGCGGAAGAGAGGCGACTGGCGGGGCTTCTCACCTCCGCCATCGCCTCGGTTGTGAACTCGCCCTCCTCGGGGTAAATGTCGAGCTTGCCGTTCCGCGACTTACTGGACGAGAAGGACTGGCCAAAAATGCCGTGTGGCAGGCTGCGCGCGGCGTAGTCGCCGTGCAGGGTGAAGCCGACGTCCAGCCGATGGCTCGGCCCCGCGATGGCGTGCGTGGGGCTCCCCTTAACCACCACCGAGACGTCCCCAATCGTAAAAGTTGCGTGCGCCATCGCGACGCTTGCAACCGCCTCTTCACACGCTTTGCGGCCGCCCTTACCCAGCTTAAACTTGTGGCCGCCGCACGAGCCCGTCACCACGTCCCACGCCCAGTTGTTCTCGCCGAGACGCGACGCCCAAAAGGAGAAGTTTGCCAGCTTGCGCTTGTCGCCGCCCACCCTCGCCACCACGTGCGCCTCGGTCACAAAGCTGCCGTGTACGATGAGCGGCGGGCTACCATCCAGCTTCCTGTCGAGCGGAAATGTGGCGTTCTCCGTTTTCAAGTTGACAGCGAGCCCAGGAGCGGAGAAGAAGGAGTAGAGGCGCCCATGCCGCCCCCTGAAGTCGGCGCGTCCGCCGTGCGCGAAATGGAGGTGCGGGTCCTGCAGTATCTCATACCGGTGCGTGATGTTCATGGCCGCAATAGTGAAGCCGCCCGCCCCGCCTGTGATGCCGTCGTAGCACTTCTCGTCCTTGATAACTAGGTCGGCTAGCCCGCTGCGGGCGCCGCTGTAGAACAGCAGCTTCGTCTCGACGGGGTTGATTTCACTGTAGTCTCCTTCTGCCACGGCGAGCGTCTCGATGACGCCGAGGCAAGTCTGACCAGGAGAGTGCATTAGCGGAAACTCCTCGTCTATGGTGATTACTGCGCAAGTGCTGGCGTTGGTGCAGTGTTCGGTCGCTTGCATCGCAAAGCTGTACGGCTCCAACGCACTCCCTGTATCGCCCGGGAGGTAGCTTAAATACCTTAGCAGTTCCGGCCGCAGGACCGGTGTGACCTGCGAGTCCTTTGCGGCCAGGAAGACGACTATTTTTGCCTGCGCCACGAGCGATCCGCCCGGTGAGAGATGAGGAGGCAATGGCAGGCAGCCACAGCGGCGACTGCCAAGAGAAAGGGGGGGGGGGTTCGGGTGCTCCACTCACGTCTTTCTTTAGCACCGCATCGACGGGCTCCGCTCCCACACAAATGAGCGCCGAAGCGTCGTCAGGGTCGTGGTAGCACATTTTCGGCCGTGTTGAGAGGTTCTCGAGGCATACCTGGATCCCGATCGTATCGCCAAACTTGAGGTGGTTCGGGTTACAATTGTCCCGGTCGAAGGCTCCGTTCGTGTACTGACACACAGGGCGAGGAGACGGTGTCAGAGGTGCCGAAAGAGCAGTCAGAAGAACAGAGGCCGTCAATCGTTATAAGTGTGCATAGGGATCAGGGTGCTAGAGCTGGTGGTCGTCGAGATCGCTGGCTTCTGGGGTATTGGCTTTGCCTGGCAGATGTTGACGTTGGTAGCTGCGGGGCGAGGGAGGGGGGAAGGGGTGAGGAGACCGCCAAGGTCGCAGCGGCGGTGCAGATCTGGGCCCTAGAGGTGTCTCTCAGAAGTGCCTCTCCCTGGGGCGGTTTGCGCCTACAGAGGCGGAGCATACGCTCGCCACGTCGAAGGATCTGGCGTCGGTGACGAGCATGTAGGGCGAGGAGCCGACGCCACCTCGTATCGCCTCTCGGACGAAGTGGTGCGGCATGGTCGCGGGGAGCAGGGGTGCTCGCGAGTGGGAACAGCCGTCGGAAGGCAGATTAGGAACGGTAAAAGCAAACTCGTGTTCTCGTTTGGCCAATTCCGCCGAACAGAAAAATAAACCGCCCAACACGATACCGATCATCTGGCCCGCTGGGTGCGCTTCTTAGCTCCCCGGCCCTGGATGTGAGGTTGCCGACTGCACTCCAAGTGCTCCAAGTGCCAAGCTCGAGGAGGAGGCGCGCTCGTGCCAGTGAGTGTGCGCGCCAGTCCCTCCGTGCCTCTCTGTGTGTCAGGGATAGTCAGGGCCGTCCATGAGAGCTTCAGTCTGCTCGGTCGGGGACGCCCGCATTTAGCGCGGCGGCTCTACCTCTTAGTCTTTTCAGTCACCACGCGGCGCCTTCCCAGCAGCTTTGCTCTGTGGGAGCGGACCCTCTTCAGCAATCCTCTACAGTAAAACCGCGCTCTACATCGGAGGCAGTTCGCCACGCGCCGGATGTAGAGCTCATTCAGCTCTACAGCGCTCTACATGTCTACAGCAGCGCTCTCTGACGACACACTACATCCTCTACAGACTACATGGAATGGCTACCTAATGGCCAGCCGCCAACGGAGCCCTACACCTTTTCCTCCTACCTTCGGTGGTGCAGTAAGAACCGCTCGCAGAGTCGGCTGTGCGCCACGCAGAGTGCCGCTAGGAAGCCTCCGACCAGGGTGAAGACCGGCGTGAACTCCCTCCTCGCGTACCGCTCCCGAACGCGGTCCTCGACGGCGTCACCAGCGAGGATGCCGCAGAAGAACGCCACGACTATTGCCAGGCTCAATACAGCTTTATCTCTCAGAAT